TGGAGAGAATTCTTCACATACAGCTGGGGAGTTAGAGCTTCATTTGAGCCTGGGGCCTTGAAGAGATTTAAGCATGAAGACGATGAGATAAGAGTTGCTTATGTAATGGTTACTGTGGTAGTGGGTGGGTGTGAGGGTGGTTAAGGGTTTAGGGGAAGATGGCCTGGACCAAGGCAGTGGCTTCAGGAAGGAGAGGCATTGGTGCCCTGGAGGGACATTAAGGAAGGGAGGGAAGGACCATGGACCCTCCCAGGTCCTGGGCCTGGGTGCCTGGTGGTTGGACGTAGGGAACCGTGGGTGGGCATGATGGGGCTTAGAAGCCCTGGCTGCCTGCTGGCTGGAAGTAGCCTCTCTCAGACCCCTGTCCTTCCTGCTGACTGCTCAGCTCCCAGGTGTCCATGTTCAACTCACTTTTGGTTTCCCATCTTTGGACTCAGGTGAGCCACAGGGACTGGTGTTGGATTGCACCTCACAGATCATCCTCTGGACAGGGATTGCACAGGTGTCCTGTTAAAACAAAAGGCGAAAGGGAGTGAAGAGAAGATTTAATGAGCCAAGAAGAAGTGGAAAGGCAGGGGTCCAGAGAAGATGGAGAAAGCCAGGCAGACAGAGACAGAGTAGGTGAAAGGGAGAGAGGAAGAGATGGGACCAAAGAGAAAGGAGTTCATATTTGCTATGCGCCTACTGTGTGCTTTTCCCATCTGAGGAGCACACTCAAATACCAAAGTGGCAATAACATCTCCAATCCAGGTGTCTTTGGCCCTGTGGGAAAGTGGGCCAGGCATACACCAATCTTCCCAGTTTTCAAAAAAAGCCAGACATTCAGATTTCCAGGTGATATCACCTGACCTTGACAATTTTTGGTAAAATACACATAAAATTTACCACCTTCACCATTTTCATGAGGACAGTGGAGGGGCATTCAGTGCCTTCACACTGTTGTGCAGCCATCACCAGCACTGAGCTCCACAATGCAAACCTGGTCCTGACCTTGTAGATGTTGGCAACACATTCAAAAATGGGAAAACACAGAGAGGGTCCAATAGACTGTGGTGTGGGCCCATGGGGGACATTTCGTGACCTCTGACATGTATTACCTCATTGAGCCCACACATACCTCCTGGGGAGGCTGTGACTATGCCCCTTGCACAGATGAGAAACTGAGGCTGGAGAGGCAGACTCACTTGTCTGAGATCCCACAGCTGATGACAATGGCAGGGCTGGGATCTGAGCTAGATTCAGGGTGATTCCCAAGCTGGTTCTTTCTGGGACCTCATGGCCTCCTAACAAGGCTGGGAGTACAGAGTGACAGATAAGAGGGGAGGGAGTCAGGCTGAGGCAGGTGCTCTGGACAGAGACAGTGACACAGGAAGGGTGGGATGGGGGAGCCAAAGGTGAGTCCCTAGAGTCACCTGAGTGAGAGATTGGCTGGAACTTTTGGACCCACCCAGCAGGCCTAGGCCAGTGATGGCCAACCTATGACACACGTGTCAGAGGTGAAACGTGAACTCATTTTTTTGGTTGATTTTTCTTTGTTAAATGGCATTTAAATATATAAAATAAACATAAAAAAATATGTCTTTGTTTTACTATGGGTTGCAAATATCAAAAAAATTTCTATATGTGACTCGGCACCAAAGTTAAGTTAGGGTTTTTCAAAATGCTGACACGCTGAGCTCAAACGGTTTGCCATTACTGGCCTAGGATAACCCCTGTACCTAGCCAGTGGGACAAGTGCCAGATGGACAATCTGACCTTGATGCTGATCTGTGTCACCTCCACACCACCGGTGAAGGAGATGGTGTCCACGAGGTGTAAAGGCACATCCTGTGTGTACTTCGTAAAGTCCTTTCCATTCACCACCACCTGTCAACAGGAGTACATATTTCAGGAGAGGGTCCCAGAACAGGGCGGGGAGCACACCTAAGCACTAGGACCCCGGCTTCTAGAAATTAAGGCCTGTCTGGTTTTCACCTCCATCCCCTGTAGGTGGGGCCCAGCCTTCAGAGCTGCTCCAGGTACAGGAACACACGTGTGATCCAAAGTGCAGCCAAACCAGGCCACCACTTGGCTCTAGTTTTGGCTTCTGAGTTCTTGCTTGTTTATTGCTCTAGGTTTGTCTTTCTCAGCTCACCTGGGATGCCATTTCAATATGCGCATTTAAATGCCCATAAAGTGCTCATGGGAGCAGAGGAGAGGGCACCTCAGGGTGCACACTGAGGCCTGGGAGCATCCCGTTCGCACAGAGAAGCACAGACACAGCCATCCCTCTCCCCGGGCCCAGCAGCACTGCTCTGCCTGCAGGAGCAATGACCACACCATGCAGCCCTGAGCCGCCCCTGGGCCTGCAGAAGGGCTGCCACAGCATCACCGAAACAAATGCTCTCAAGGACCTGGAGTGGGCAGGCTGCAGCAGAGGATGGAAGTCACCTGGAACCTGAGGCCAAAGAGCAGGTGGGGACTTACCCAGCTCTTATTTCTTATAACAGAAGCAACAGGTGCTCTGTGGGTGCAGGTGAAGGTGTGTAAGGTCCTCTTATCTGTATAATGGCATTGCCTGGGTATTTATTTACAGGCCTTTCTCCAGGCCTGATAGGGCAGGGGGACAGGCAGTAGGAGGGAGGGAGGAGAATCCTGCTCACCTGGAATCCAGAGTTCTCCACCAGGAAGCTGATCTCAAAAGGAATACCTATCTTGAAGGGATTTGGCGTCATCCTCACCTCCTGCCCCCAGCGTCCTTTCTGCTTGGTGTTACAGACCACATACCCGCCCTCTTCAAACCGAGGGTTGAAGTGGAAGGCAATGTCATTGTCACTGAAGCCCGTCTGAAAGTTCACAGCAAACCTAGGTGGACAGAAATCAGACAGCGTTCTGGTTTATTCCCAATGGTAGGAGCAGGAGGGCCTGGGGCCTCTGACTTCCATGTGTGCCTGGCAACTTGCATACAACCTGGGTGGCAGGTTGCACCCTTCCCACTGTGCTGCCTTCCTTTGTGTTTACCTAATCTGCACTTAGTGTGTTTTGTGGAATTACTGCATTTTGCCCTTTCCAGCGTGACTTTCCAGAAATAAGCAGGAACTGGGTAAAGAACAATGTGGACTCGAGCCTCAGGAAGCCTGGGTCTTGGAAACTGACTGCATATTTGCATGAAGATGCAAATCCAGGAACATGCCCAGAAGCAAGAGCCTCTCATGCCTGGTGTGCACTGGTTAGAGGCCAGCCCACAGCTGCTCAGTTGGGAAGGAAGAGAAAAATGGAGAGAAGATGTGACATTGATGGACTTTACCTACAAAGACGGTGTCTAGCAGGGGAGGCATGGAATGAATATTGGCTCCCCAGGCAGGACAACTTCCGGTATGTGTGTCTGTCCCTCATCAGAGGTTGTTGTGTGTCCCACCCTGACCTCAGCTCATACTGTTAGTTATTGGGGTGACTCTGAAACACACAACCTGGTTCAAGGCACCCAGTGTGGGGCTGACTCCCTTCCTTTGTGTTTGATTAATAGGTGTTCAGGAAGCCTCCACAAAAGTAAATTTTCATTCCTGTCTCTCTCCTTGGAAGGAAGCCCTTGCCTACAAAACTTCCTTTGGGGATAGCTATGGCTCTAAGGTGAGGAATTAAAACAAAAGAACCTCCCAAGAAGCCAGGCTCATGAAAGGGTCTCAAAAAAATGTTTGTTCTGCCCTTTTCCAGGCACATGTCCTAAAACCAGTCCCAATCCAAGGAGTCACTGTCTACTCCAAGCCTTCCCTGAACTCAGCAGGAGCATGGTTCATAGCCTGCATCTTGGGGTCATTCTGGTGTCCCCAACTAATGCACAGCACTCAGGGAAGCCCCCCACCCGCCTATGTGTCTTCTGCACCCCCCACAGGGCCAGGCTCTGAACCAAGTCCAGAGGTGGCCCTAGATAGATATTCTATTCAATTCCTGCAGAGCCCCACCCAAATCAGGCAAGAGCCCCTCACCAGACACCACCTGGGTCTCAGCAGAGGGCAGCCAGGGCTGCTGGAGTATTACAGGGCTCTCCAGCCTCTGGGGAGATGTACAATCTCTTTCTTGTTCCCTACAGTCCCCCCTTGGGTGGGAAACAGTGCTGAGAGGATGTTTGTATTTTGAAATGACTTAGTATTTTCCAGGAAGGAACTTGAAACAGAAAGAGATCAAATTACATTTGAGCCCTAGCCAGTTTGGCTCAGTGGATAAAGCATTGGCTTTAGAGACTGAAGGCTCCAGGTTTCCACTGGAGTCAAGGGCACATGCCTGGGTTGTGGGCTCAGTCCTTGGTAGGGGGCATGCAGTAGGCAGCAGATCAATGATTCTCTCTCATTGTTGATGTTTCTTTCTCTCTCTCCCTTTTCTCCCTTCTCCTCTCTAAAATCAATACAAATATATATTTAAAAATTACATTTGATGGCAAATTTAAGTATTTTGAATACAACCAAGATTAGTTTACCCAGCAAAGCTATCATTTAGAATTGAAGATCAGAATAAGAGCTTCACCGACAAGAAAAAACCGAAGGAGTTCATCACCAGCAAACCAATATTACTTGAAATGTTGAAGGGTATTCTTTAAGAAGAGGAAAAAAAGATAAAAATAATATGAACCATGTAATGGCAATAAATACATATCTACCAAAAATTGAATCTAAAAATCAAAATAAATGACAAGAAATCTAATGAATAAAATAGAATGAGAGGCACGGAAACATGGAATGGACTGATAAATCTCAGAGAAGGATCAGGAAGAGATTAGCCAAAGACCTTATATGCATATATGCATTAACAATGGACACAAACAATAGTGTGGTAAAGGCTTTGGGCAGGGTGGGAACTGGGTAGAGGGTGGCAACAGAGGAGGAAAAAGAGGAACAATTGCAATACCCTCAACAATAAAGATTTTCTTAATAAACAAATGGGACTACATCAAAATAAAAAGCATCTGTACTGCAAAAGAAATCATCAACAAAACAACAAGAGAGCCCACTGCATGGGAGAACATATTTGCCAAGGTTAACCCTGATAAAGGTTTAACTTCAAACATTTACAGGAAACTCATACAACTTAATAAAAGGAAGATAAACAACCCAATTAAAAAAATGGGCGAAGGACCTTAATAGACACTTTTCAAAAGTGGACATGCAGAGGCCAAGGGACATATGAAAACATGCTCAGTCACTAGTCATCGGAGAGATGCAAATAAAAAGGACAATGAGGTACCATCTCACACCTGTCAGAATGGCTAACATCAATAAACAACACGTGCTGGTGAGGATGTGGAGAAAAAGGAACCATTGTGCACTGCTGGTGGGAATGCAGACTTGTGCAGCCACTGAGGAAAACAGTATGAAGTTTCCTCAAAACATTAAAAATGGAACTCCCATTTGACCCAGTGATCCCACTTCTAGGAATATATCCCAAGAAATCAGAAACACCAATTAGAAAGGATATATGCACCCCTATGTGCATAGCAGCACAATTTACAATAGCTAAGATTTGGAAACAGCCTAAGTGCCCATTAGCAGACAAGTGGATTAGAAAACCGTGGTACATCTACACAATGGGATACTACACTGCTATAAAAAATAAAGAGCTCTTACCATTGGCAACAGCATGGGTGGAACTGGAGAGCATTATGTTAAGTGAAATAAGCCAGTTGGAGAAACATAAATATCACATGATCTCACTCATTTGTGGAATATAATGAACAATATAAATTGATGAACAAAAATGGATCCAGAGACATAGAAGCATCGAACAAACCATGAAACCTCAGAGAGAAGGCAGGGGAGGGTGGGGAGGAGAGAAGAAATCAACCAAAGGACTTGTATGTGCGCATATAAGCATAACCAATGGACACACACAGTAGGGGGATGAGGGCATGTGCAGGGTGTTGGGGGCGGCTAGGGAGAGGTCAATGGTGGGGAAAGGAGACATATGTGATACTTTAAACAATAAAGATTTTAAATTAAAAATATATAGATAAAAACGATTTCCACATCAGCCAAATGCGGGCTTTGACATGAATGAAGGCCAAATGGGAAATAAATGAGGCATTATTTTTGCATCTCTGGGTCTTCCTGAGCAAAATTCAATTCTAGCCCATGATCTGCCCCGTGGCTGGCCTTAGACTATGAGCTCCCTGTGTCTATGGGGAATCTCTGCTCATGGTGTCCAGATTCTACTGGCAGAGGGCAGGGGTACCATGCAGTGTTGGCAAGGCCAGGTCCTACACATCCAGCATCCCCTGAGCCAGGGACAGGCAGCTTGGAGCAGACAGTTGACATGGTTTGCTAAGGGTCAGGGCTGGAGAGAAACAACACTAGGTACCTGGTTCCATAGGACTGAAGAAACGTCCCTTTGACAGTGACCTGATGTCCATCCTTGAGGGTGTACTGGTCACCCCCTTGTGTGTGCCTAGAGAAGAGGATGACCTGCAGGGAGAAGAAGGCAGTCAGTTAGGGTCCTGCTCCTTCTGTTAATCCCTCTGGCTCTGGCACTTGCTAGTGGCCGGCCTGGTGTGTCGGGCAACATGCCAGGGGCCGGAATCAGCTGTAAATTGGGCATATGGAGTCTCAGTGTCATGGAACTTCCCACCTGTAAAGAAGTGGACCTGAATCCAGGGAGTTACACGTTCATTCTGAGACTGATAAGGAGACCGCCGGGCTCTGAGACAATGTGCCCCAGAGCTGACCTCTCTTAAGGGGAAGTAGCAGCTTTCAAGAGGAGGAAGTAGCATGAACATGGCCCTGAGAGGGGAAGAAGCCAGGGTAGAGAGAGGGGCTGCGGGACCACAGGCCAGGCTCTTAGCAAAGGCCCAGGGCCCTGGTTGAAAACTCAGAAACCCAAGGAACCAAAGAGGCCACCAGCCTATTCTAAAGGATAAACCTTCTGCTCCCTGAGAAGGCCAAGAAGAAGGCATCCTCCTGCCCACCCCGCCAGAGAATGGTGGGGATCATGACCTTTGCCCTCCCAGCCACCTCAGGTAGCACCTGGATGCTCTGTATCCTCTCCTGCTCCTGCTCCCAGTCCCTCCCCAGGCCCTGGCAACCTCCGAGGCCCTAGTGAGGTGTCTGCACTCCTCCTCGGCCCCATAGAGCCCGTTTTGTCAAATCCCTTCCCGGGCCACTTGAAAGGACAATGGTTATGGTGAGGCTTACATGGTTTTAGAGCCAGGCATCATCCAGGTTTGGAGCCTAATTCTGCTGCTCTTTCCTGGGTGACCTCAGGGAGCTTATGTCCCCTCTTTTGCCTCAGTTTCCTCATCTGTAACATAGGGATACATCTGACCTTCTGCGTAAGATCAATGAGTTAATGAGATAAGGGCTGGGGAAGAGATTGGCACATAGTAGGTGTCTCTACCGCACCCTTCCCTCTTGGTCTCTCTGAGCAAAATTCCAAAATTAGTTTTTTGACCTTTTAAAGCTAACCTCCAGGATGCCTTTCATCTGATGTGCTCTTAACCTGCACTAACCTATGATATAACTTCCAGCTTCTAGTCAATCTTCACATTTCTCTAGTAGCTAACGTCTTCTCTAACTTCTCCTTTAAGCCAGCTCCCTACAGAACTGAAATGCCTATAGGAGCCAGGCAGGTGATGTGTAGGAGGGAAATTGTCAGGTAGGGGCAATAGGGAGTGGCAGAGACCATGACAAAGTAGACACCATGTCTCTCGTCTAAAGGAACAGCATCCTCTCAGCTCTAACCTGGACAAATGAATTAATTTAGATGGATTAACCTCTCTGTGGGTCAGAGCTTGCTCTCAGCTCCTGGCCAGGCCTGGAGGCTGAGGACTCTTTCCTCCTCTTCCTCTCTGGAGGCTCAGACAGCAGAGCCAGGCCCCCAGGCCACAGGATGCACAGCCTCCTTCTGGAGGCACAGTGTCCCCAGCGGGCACCCAGCCACAGCTGGCACAGGGGGCTCACTGCAGGGCCAGCGGGAGCCTTTCAGGCAAAGAGGCTGCTGCCCCAAGGGTTCTGAGGTGCTTCTGGGCCCATTTCCCTGGCTGTTCCTAGTTGTCCTGGCAACAGCCCTGGCCATTATCAGGGCCACCCCTACAGATGGGGAAACTGAGCTCAGAAAGTCTGGTAACTTGCCCAAAGCCACCCAGCTGGTCAGTAATAGGGTGGGTGCAGCACCCATGTTGTGAAGCCCCACACAGGCTGCTTCTCACGATGAAGTGTGAAGGAAAACCCCTATTCTGTAAAACTACTGTTTGGAATTCTCTGCTGTTCTTTGGACGGCCTCTTATTGTGAAAAAATAACTTTGCTTTCTAGCCTGCTTGAATAATGGGGGAGATAAACTTAGCTTTCTGACCTTGTAGGCCAGAGACTAGATACACCCAATGTCATGCCAGGTACATTTTTTAATTGATAGAACTGTGTAGTTTTCAACGCCGCTGCCAGCAAGCGCACAAAGGGCTGGCTCTTCCATAAAAAGGGAGGTTCTGCTTGTAGCCATGCTTAGAATTTGGATTCATTTCCCTAAGCCCGCCGTGGTGAATAAAGTGTAACTCCAAACTCTCAGAGCGTTGTTTGGTTCTTGTCTGGTTTTTCTGTAACAAAAGCACAGAACTCCTGGCTCCTGGCTCCCTGAGGGCTTTCCCAGCCAAACAGTGAGTCCTGTCCTGCGTGTGGTTCCAGCTTCCACCCTTCCACCCTGGTCTCTGAGGAGGCTGGGCCAGATGAGGCTGGCGGGGCTTGGCAAGGAATGGGGCTGAGGACCCCAGGGCAGACCCTCCTGGTGTTCAGCTGGTCCTCAGAACAGCCAGGCCAGGGGCTCTTCCTGGCACACGTTGGAGGAAGAGGGAGGTGCATGCTGACTGATGGAAATCACTGGTCACCCGGGAGAGGGTGACCACGTGAGGTGGAAGGGCTCTCCTCCCGCCTCTGGCAGCTACACCCATCCCCTTCCTGTTTGTACTCCCAGACCCTGTTTGAACTCTCTGCTGCCCAAGCAGGATTTTCATTCTAATTTGAAAAAACTGGCATTTGAATCCAAGGTCTGAAAAGTAAAAACCAGTCACCAAGATAAGAAAATGGCAGTGCCTGGAAGGAGGCTGGGACCTCCCATTTTACAATGAGCCTAAGGGGACACGCTCTCACCTTGAGGCCACCCGCCTACCCCACACCCCACCCAGGAAGGGCTCTCTCACTCCTCCTCCGGGCCCTGTTTACCGAGGCTGGGAGAGGCTTCCACAGGCCGGTCCAGGGCACAGTGACCTCCTAGGCCTGGGGCTGCCACCTGCCTGTCTTCCCTCATTACTGCTCTCCCTGTGGGCGCCTCCTCTTCTCGGGTAAATGAAGGCACCCTCCTCCTCGACCATCTGGAGACACCTGGGAAGTGGCCTTGACGCCCTCTGAGCCTCAGGTTCCCCATGGATGGCGTGAGGATAACCAAGCTCAGAGGGTTTACACACAGCCACTCAGACAGGGCCCACACATGTGGCTCAAAAGGGTGGGAAAGGCAGCTCCTTTGCAACTCACACTGCAGGGCTCGCTCTCCTCCTCTCTCACTCCTCAGAGGGCTCTCCTGCACACACTCCTGGACCTGCCCCTGATAATCCATCTCCTCAGGAGCAGGACCTCCTCTCTCCTCCGACAGAACAAACCCGAGGATCAAAAGATTATTACTATGCACACCACTTACTACGCCCCTACACGGCTGACAGGAATTGTCGAACAATCATAATTTTGTCACTCGACTTCCTTTACCCA